TCATACTAAATTCATACCTACTCAATGATTAACATATCCAGGAGCTAAAGTAACTCAATTTTAATGTGACACAAGTATTTGCTCCAGTAATTATTAGTCTAAGTGTTAATTAGACTCATTTTCATAAAAAGAAAGGCATTTTTCCAGTAAATCTCCTGAATTTCTACTTCTATTTGGATGTCTGTTTCCCAGAATATAAAACTGATATAAAATTGGTCTAAAAACCAGACACATCGGCATAGTTCCTAGCTTTTGATAGCTGGACAAAAAAGATTATCTTCCGTTATTGTGAAGGGTCAGAGGCAGGGAAATATATTATTTTATAATCATTAAGTGCTTTAATTAAACCTTCTACTGTTTAAGTACACATCATTAGCAGGAAATGTGACACTAAAGTTTGTAACATAAAACTCCAGACTCCAAGGTATTCAAAGTATTTGCAGGGGTGGTGACTAAACGAGAGAGAGAGAGAGAGAGAAAGACAGACAGACAGACAGACAGACAGACAGAGACAGAGAGAGAGAGGGATAAGGAGAGAGAGAGAGAGAGAGACAGAGAGAGAGAGAGAGAGAGAGAAAGAGAGGGAGGAGGGAGGAGATGGTGTATAGGATTGGAAGGAGAAGAAATTGGCTGAGACAGATCTAGATCTAATCCTAATTTGCTGTATGAAATTATTTAACCTTTTTGTTTGCAGCTAGCTATCAAATGAGGATTACATCGACTATTATGAGGATTATACATATCTAGTGTAAAGTATTCAGTATACCATCTGGTCTATTATAAATATCTAATAAAAGAACACATTATTATACTTCTTCCTGTATGTTCTTTCATTTATTTACTCATTTAACAAATACCTATTATGGGACCACTGAGACAGGAAAGTGAGACACAAGAGTGAACCAGGAGGCACCAGTCCTAACAGACTCTAACCAACCAGATATGGTGTGGTGCAAAGTACACCTGATAATAACAACAGAACAGAAACCCCAGACAGTGTGTACACAGTGCACCAGGCATTATTAAGAGCTTCATCACAAATTCACTCACTGAATTTTTTTTTTTTAAATTTTATTTAAGGAGAAAAGAAAAAAAAAGCAGGGAAAGGGTACAAGTTATACAGATTTACAGAAAAAAAATGAACAGTAGGAAATCACTAGTTAATGGATTACATATTGTCATCTTAGAAATAATTGTTCAAGTCACAAAATTAAAGCTTGTAAAGTGGACATTCCATCAATGATACTGCAAACAGTTCTGTTCATTGATCCAATAAAACTCTGTGATATCATTTTCTATCTTATACACTTAAATATACATGCAGTTATATAGTTTAGAGCACTTTCTTTTCCTCTCTTTTGTACCATGACTATTACACATTTTGGGTTTCATTGCTCCCACGGTTCTTATTACTTTTTTGGAAGAGAGTAAAACCAAATGTGACATAACAGAACAGAATCGGTCAAGTCAAAAGGGTGGACATGATAGATAATGTAAAAACATAATACAGGTGATCAACAATGGTTACCATAATGTCTCCCGCTATCTCTAATAGAATTGCCTATATCATTAGTTATAATACAATTGAACAAAACAGTAAAGAATAAAACCGACAAAACCAAAACATTGGAGACATTGTAGGTCTTCAAAAATAGCTAAAAGTCAACAAGAATGGGCGTCATAATGAATCTCATTATCTTCACAGCTGATGCCTAAACTTTCGAACCTGATACTATCCAGCAAAACAGAATAGGGGAACATCAGTTAAAAACCAGATGGTGAGAGTAATACAGGGCTTTAAATCAAGGTAATGAAAAGTCAAAATGGGTTACTATAATATATCCTGCTATTTTTTTCCTTTAATTAAAAGGATAAAGATAAAAAAGTAAATAATGGAGTGGAGATTGAGATAAAAGAGGGCATAACAACGAAACAGCGCAGATCAAAACATAACCATTTAAGCAGAATAGTGTTTCACCACCAGATAATCCTAACCTAAAAGTAGTTACCATATTGTTTCTTTCTTTGAAATCCTTGAGTACAACTTCGTATACTGTAGCATTAAGTATATCAAAACAATGTAAAACCATTCAAGAGAATGACAGCATTACAGAGTATTTAGAATCGACTAACAGAAAATGAACAATGGTTTCTGTATAATCTCCTTGTCTTTAAAAGGTTTTTGCTTATACTATCGTACATAATAAAATCCAATAAGATACAGCCTATTTAGACCATTGGAGACAGAAGGACAAAAGCTAGATGAGACTTCAAAACAAGATGATACTAAATCAGTATTACCTATTAAGATGTCATTTTCTCCAAAATAGCTGTTCCTATCATCCAATCTTCTCTGCCTCATTTCTGTTAAGCTCTTTTTCTGTCAGTAGCTGTCAGTTTGTCTTCTTCATTTTGTTCTCTGCTCCATTTGTTGTGGCCTCCCCACCACTATTTCTGGGTTCTTTGTATTTTTCTTTTTTTAGAATATCCTGCAATACTTTCTGTAGAGTTGAATTGGTGGTTGCAAATTCCCCCAGTTCCTCTTTATCCTGGAAGCACCTTGTTTTTCCATCAATTTCCAGGGACAGTTGTGCAGGATATCTCAATCTTGGCTGGAGATTATTATCTTTCAATGCTTGAATTATTTCCCCCCACGCTCTTCGTGATTTGATGGTTTGTGCAGAGAAATCTGCTGTAATTCTGATGGGTGTTCCCTTGTAAGTGGTCTGTTTCTTGTCTCTTACAGCTTTTAATATTCTGTTCTTGTATTGAATTTCTGGAATTTTTATTATTATATGCCTGGGTGTTGCTCTGTTTGGGTTGTAGGTAGCTGGGGTCCTGTATGCCTCATACATCTGAGTATCTTTACCTTTTGCTAAATTAGGAAAATTCTCCTGGATTATTTCTGTGAGTAGCTTTTGTAGTTCACTTGTTTGCATCCCTACTTCTTCTTTTATGTTCTTAATCCTTAAGTTATGGATCCTCTTATCATCTTCTTGTCTTTGTATTATTGCTGTTTGTTTCTTTGTTATTTTTAAGAAGTTTTTCATTTCATTCTCCCATATTACAAGTCTGCCCTCCAGTTCAGATAGTCTGTCCTTAGTTTCTTTCAAGCTGTTATGCCAGTCTTCGATAGACTTCTTAGTATCTTGGTAGTCCCTTTGAACCTGCTTCACGTATTCTATGCTTTCTCTGTTTTCTCCATCAAACAATTCTCCCCTTTTTTTCTGTTCTTCCATTCCATCACTTGTTTTTTCTTGGGTGGTGCTTAGCATTTCTCTAACTATTCTGCATACTTCTAGCTTCAGGTCGTTGATAACTTCATTCCTGAATTGGTCTATGAGGCTCTCTATATGGTGCCTTATGTGTATTGGTGCGGTGTCTGCTATTGCCTGTTTCTCAGAATTGGGGGCCAAGGAGCCTTTCTTGTTGCTGCCTCTTCCCATGCTGCCTCTTCTTCTCTGTTCCTTATATATGCAAGCTTATATAAGAGGCCCAGCTTCTCTCCCAGTCAGCCACAGCCTGATCGAATTGCGCCAGTTAGGTGTTCCCGCTCACCGCTGCGCACCAGGGAGTTACGGACCAGGCAGCCTACGCGTCTCCCCTCCCGGCCACCGTCAGGCTCTGGGATCTGGGTTGGGACAGTCTACCAGGTCCGCCGGCAGCGTCACGCAGGCCAGGCACTTTTCACCAATCCCGCCCGAGAGGGGGATGTGTGGCTGGAGTCGCCACCGCGCCCTGCTCCCGCAGGACTGCTCAGGCCCAGAAAGTCCTCTGCTGGAGTCAAACTGTGGTAGAGTGTCAGTTTCTCTCACTCACCTCACCACAAGTCAGTGCACGCCTCCCTGCCGTTCGCAGATTGCCGTTCTCAGAGCTTCTGCGCATCTCTCTCCTTGCCGAGCCGCTGTAGAGGCAGCCAGCCGCCGCGCGGCGGGAAACCCAAATCGCGGCTTACAATGGCGCGGTTCCAGCCTCCACACCGAGTCTTTTCTGTTCCTGTTTTAGCACCAGGACCGCATTCCAAGTTGGCTTCTCTCAGCCCAGTTCGTTCCTGAGTCAGCAGAACATATCTCCACCTGCTTATGTCTCCTTAGTCCGCACCATTCCTGGCTTCTGAGCCGAGTCTTTCAGAGAGCCGCCAGTAGTTGCTGTTATCTGTCCGCCATGTTCTCCCGGAAGAGTCAAATGGCAACTTAATTGTGTGTACTGAGCAATTGGCTAGATCTTACATCTTTGACATCCTCCATAATATATTAAAAGATCACTGTGTGTCTTTCCGGTCTGCAAGAATCCTTCCATGAGGCCTGTAGGCCGTAGAAGTCTCAGTAAGCAGTCTAGCCGGGACAGAAATTCTCAGCACTACGTTGTGGTCAGGGCAGCCATGACACCCCACTCACTGAATTTTTATACCAATCCTCTGTAGCAGATACTTGCCCAAGATTAAAGTAGTCAGTGTGGACTTGAACCTGGCCATCTGGCTCTAGATTCTGTGCTTTTAACAGCCACGCTGTTTGCCTCTCTAAACATTTGAATTGGATTTTACAATTCCATAGGACATAAATAATCCTTATACAAGCATATAAAGAATCCAGTGAATCAATTCAGTAAAAAATACAGTTACACACTTCCTTTAGAGATATGTAAGCAGAGATAGTAGGTTAAATAACTAGAGGCATTCACTTGGTCACCCAGTTACCCAGTGCCCTGTGACAGCAATTTCCTCACCCAAATCCCATCCACCACTGCTTGCCTTCCAATGCAGCAGCTGTTTTCTGGCAATAGCACAAGGACAACGTTTTTATAATAGAATTTTTCATCTCACTCAACTCTAACCCTTTCATCTGCTATAACCACAAGGCTCCTCTAGTTCCATTCAATTCCTGACCTTCAATATCATAATCTCTTATGCCTGCTAGAATCTTCTGGCAGAAAAGTTAAAGGAAAACCAAATTGGTGTTTTTTTATTTTGTTCCTCTCATTTTAAAAAGTGTTCAATCGCTGCATGGGTGGTTCAGTGGTAGAATTCTTGTTTGCCACACAGGAGGCCCGGTTCAATTCCCGGCCCATGCATTTCCATGCTTGCCTTAGGAGGGAGCAAAGATGGCGGACAGATAACAGCTGGCTACAAAGGCTCCCTGAGATAGTCAGCTTAGAATTCAACATAATACAGCATGGGGAGCCCTAAACAGAGGGAGATGAATTCTCTCGTCCCAAGAAGAAACTAAGGTGAGAAGAAGGTGCTATTATTGAAACAGCTAAAGGTTCAGAGCTCCCGCTGCAGGGAGACTTGCCGAGCCATCTGAGGTCCTGCTACTTTGACTCATGGAGGCACAGTCACACTGAGGTCGGGGGTCGGCCAGCCGTATGGAAAGCTGAGCTGGCGGGGAGCCTGCATCGACCTGTGGGGCTCCAGCAGATGACATTCTGGGACCAGGCAGGACTGGCAAAGTACAAGGGGCAGCAGTGACTTCAGTCAGTTGTTCCCTTTCCGAACAGAACTACCCAATAGGTTATCCAAAATCAATTCCCTATGGCAGCAGCGCACACTAGCACAGTGAAGCCGCAGAATCTCGACTGAGTCAGAGGGGAGGAGGTACACAGTAATACAGTGCAGGCCTCAGTAGCTGGACTGATCTGGAGGGGAGGGGCCAGCATACGCTGCCCCTGTTTGCAACTCACTAGCACACTGCAGTGGGAAGGGTCACCTACCCGGTGTGCTTCAGAAGAATTGTAACCAACAAAAAAAGAAACTGGGGCCTCCTGGAAGAAACAAAAAAGATGGGAAGAGGAAGCAGCAACAAAATGTCCCCAGGTCCGAACCCTGAGAACATTGACCCAGGACAGGTAAATACAAAGGAGAATGAGAACAGCAAACATGCAATATCAGACACAGCACCAGTGGACATAAAGAGATATCTTTGGGACCTCATAGATGAGTTCAAAAGGGAAATATTTAGCCAAGTAAAGCAAGATATAAGAAGATTAATAAAAGACATGCTGTCTTAGTTACTTTTTACTTGTCGCTGAGACAAAATACCTGAAGCCCAAAGTTGGGGAAGGAAAGGTTTATTTCTTACAGTTTTTGGAGGTTTTAGTCCATACTCAGTTGGCTCCAAGGCATGCAGGCATGGCTGGGCCGCAGCAAACAGCAAACCAGAACCGGCAAAGAGCAAGACACACCTTCTTCCTGCCATTACATCACATCCTGGCTCCACCCCTATGTGGGTGTAGCCCTGACATCATCAATCCAAGCACTAGACAATGAACCAATTACAAATGCACAATGCAAACTCATGAGGCCAAGGGGACACAGCCATAAACCATGACACATGCTAAGCACCCCTCAAGAAGACACAGACAGAAGGGAGGAACTCAAACAAAGGAGAGAACCATTTGATGAAGAATATAAAGCAAATAGAGAATACATGAGGCAGATTCAAAGAGATTATCAGGAAATTAAAAACTCCATGGAAAGATGGCAAATCTGCTTGAAAGAAATTAAGGATAGATTATCCAAACTGGAGGACAGTTTTGCAATATGGGATTATGAAAGGGAAGTATTTCCCATGCGGTCTGATTCTTGTTCATGAACTCTTTACCTACCTCTATGTTGAAAGGGAAAACTTTTTAAAAATAATAAGGAAACAAGCAGTAACAATACAAAGGCTAGAAAATGACAAGAGGATCTATAACTTGAGAATAAAGAATGTAAATGAAGAAGCAGGGTACCAAGAAAGGAACTATAAAGGCTATTCACAGAAATAATTAAGGAAAACTTCTCAAACATAGAAAAAGGAAATGATATTCTGATATATGAGGCATACAGAACTCTAGCCACCTAGAACCAAAACAGAGCTACATCCAGGCATATAATATCAAGATTCCAGAAATTCAATATAAGAACAGTATATTAAAAGCTGTTAGAGACAAGAAACAGATAACCTACAGAGGAAGGCCCATCAGAATAATAGCAGACTTCTCGACACAAACCATCAAGTCAGGAAGAGCCTGGAACAAAATGTTCCAAGCCCTGAAAGAAAATAACCTGCAATCCAGATTGATATACCCTGCTAAACTGTCTCTAAAAATTAATGGAGAAACAAGATGCTTCCAAGACAAAGAGGAACTTGCGAAATTCACAACCACCAATCCAACTCTACAGAGAATACTGCAGGGCATTCTAGAGAGAGAGTAAAGTACTAAGATTCCAGGAACAGTGGCAGAGAGGCCTCAATGAATGGAGCAGAAAACAGAATAAAGAAGATAAGCAGACAACTGATGGCAAAAAAAGAGCATAACAGAAATGAGGCAGAGAAGGTTGGTTATAATCTCTAATATAGATGGCCTTGATACACTAAATTAAAAAAAAAAAGAACCACACATCGAGTAGATCAGGAGGCAGGGTCCACCAAAATGCTATTTATAGGAAATATAATTAACATGAAAAAGAGTTCATGGACTGAAAATCAAGTATGAAAAAACAATGCTCTATGTGACAGAATACCAGAGTAATAGGGGCAACTAGACCAGTATTTGTGGATAGGTTGGAAAGACAGGCTTTAATAGGTAAAGGAATACAATTAGAGATCAAGTCCAGGAGAGGAAAGGTTTAGAACCACTTAGGTAAATAGCAGTCTGCCCCTCCCTCCCAATTTAAAACCAAGGGTCTTGGTCAGACCCAATAATGCACAGTGTACCCTGGGGAAGTGAAAGGGGAGGGAGAGTTCTAAAAAAGATGGCAGAAGATATTGTCAATAGAGTATCATGATTTAAAACCCCCATTACTCACACCACTCTGCTTAGTCAGATTTTATTCTTTTTTTTTTTAATAGATTTTATTCTGTCCCATTTTGTCTACTTGCATTAGATTTGAGGGCACAGACAGCTATTCCAAAAACATCAGGATATAGCACAGTAATCATCTTTAATTTCCTATTATCTTAATCTGGAACCCTGTATGAATTATACTGTTTTATCATGACTGATCTTTGTTAAATCTGGTTTGTTTGATTGCTGTTTGGTATCAACAGATTTTATTCAAAACTGATATGATTGATAGTATCAAGTCTGAGAGTATAAGCAACTACATTGAAGATGACAAGACTCTACAATACACATTCTGGTTTGATAACTGCCTGCTTTTGAAGTTTTATAATGTATAGAAAGTTAGGTTTTTATTAATACTGTTATGTACTGATATATTCAATTATACTAAGTCTGACGATATAGCCAATTCTATTGAAGATAACCAGAGACAACACAGGAACTATGGTAGAACTCCTTGTACAATGGTCTTATATGTCTTTTTCGTTTCATGTGTTTATAGGAATATGTTTTGTTTTGTCTTGCTTTGTTTTGTTTCTCCCTCTGATGTAGAAAGGATAGAAATACATGTTCAGACTCATGCATGTGTAGAATCTACAGTTTATGAGAACTGATCTTATGACACATGTTGAAATGAACAGAAAGTTTGAAGAAAAAGAGACACTAAAGTACCCACTGCTGATCGTGGAGTGTCATAATGTGAAACCCAGCAATAGTACTATTCTTTTTTCAGAGTAATATTAGACTGCTTGAGTTTATTCAATTTCAACATAATGTAAGATATGGATAACTGCATGTATGTTTAAGTGTATAGGATTGACAACCATATTTCTAAGTTTTTGTTGGATAGTTGAACAGAACCGGTTGCAGTCTCACTGTTTGAATCCCCACTTTATATGCTTCACTTTAGTATCTTGAATAACTATTTGTGAGAGGACAATCTGGAATCATCAACTAGTGATTTCTTACTGTTTATTTTTTTCTTTGAAAGTATGTATTATTTCTACCCATTTTCTGTTTTGTTTAGTCTTCCTTTAAATAAAATTTTTTTAAAAAGTGTTCACATAGCTGGACGCTGCATGCTAAATGCTTTCCAGAGCATTTGTAACGTAATGGAAACAGCAGGAAAGAGAGCGGGTATCAGCCACCACACTTATTTCTTATTACAAGGCGGGCAACCATCCTTTTCTAGATGCTTAAGCACAAACTACGTGACAGCCATAACTTATCCCAAGAAATCCTTTAGATTTATGACAACACACCAAATGACACTGCTCATATTAAGGGAGAAAACAACCCACTTCTAACTAGCTAACAATGATTAAGAAAAAAATGATTATACTCACAGGAGGGCATTGTGCAAGTTTATCAGCTGCCACCAATTGCACATTCAAGTGTTTACTTTGGGATTTTCCTCTAGATTTAATCAACCGCTGTAAAACCTGAGAGAAGAAGACATGAGTCTGAGGTACTGTCAGTGAGTTGAAAAAAGCAAAGAAACCAGGAACTTTTTAATAGTCTCTTTAGCCCTGAGGATTAATAAAGGGGAAATACAATGGGAGCAATCAAATACTGTATAAACTCTAGAACGATGCTTACACTGGCTTTCAGTGTAGTTCATCCTTTTCTAGGTCCACCCAAGGTGCTGGTGAGATTCTGAGTTCCCATGTTAGATTTTGAAATCTCTTTGACGTTTTAAAGAGAGTCTTACCAAAGTGGAGGAACTAGTTTATAGCAGGCCACTTATATTGAGTAATATTTTGATATTATTCAGTTGAGTAATATTTTGGCTCACCAACTCCATGTTAGATAAATATCAAAGTCATTTATTCAGCTATTTTTGTCAACTACAGTTAATGAGACACTTCAGTTTAATTTTACATTAATCAGACTGATTCATAAATGGAAATCTAGGCAAAATATTTGCATTGGTGTAATCTTATCCTTAAATTGATATATCTGTCTTTTGGTCACTGTTGCAAGTGTATCCTCTCCTTTTATTTAATATTTCTGTTAGCTGAAATAGGGCTAACTTAGTGCTTCTCTATACGCTCCATGATACCTGAGCTCACAGGCTGATGAGTGCCCCTGGTCCCACACTTTAGGGTGCTACAGTGACTGGAGCAGTGGAAGGAGCTGGTCTCTCCTCCACTGTGGCAGAGGGAGCTTGAGTTCCCAGAAGACCTGGGTCTCCCTGGGTCAGGGAGACCTTGTGCTGGCCAAGGCATTCTGCTGAGTCCCAAAATCAAGATTCCCAAGGTTACTGCATGTAAGCACTGCCTGAAGATATGAAAGGCTGAAGATCTTAGATTTGGAGAAACACAGTTTCTTCACTCACACTTTTTCCACCTTTGAAAGGGTTAGGGTTTGAATTTAGGTATATAAAATACATTATAGAAGGCACTAAAAGGAAATTGATTATTAAGGTAATACTTCACAGGAATATCTATTTCACATTAACTTTATTTTCTTTTTCAGTTTACTAGGTACATGTGTGTAGTACATAATGTTTACATTCCTTGTGGGAAGCTGGCACATGTAAATAACACATCCCAATTTCTTTTTCATCCCCTTTCTCTCCTTCTCCCCTGCTCCATCTCTTGACCCTCTTCTGTTTTCTGGGGGGGGGGGCATGCTGGTGGTACACAATGCTTACAATGCTTGTGTGGGACTGCTACTTGTATATGACACATCCTAATTCCTTTTTTTCATTCTCTATCCCTTTCGTCCTCATCTCCCTCTATCTCTTTATCCTGTTGCCCTCTGAGAATGATCTATCTTCTATGTCCTATTATCTATCTTTCATGTTGCTCTTTATTTTTCTTCCAGGTTTCTCAGTAAGAGAAAGCATCTGATATTTAAACTTGTGTCTGATTCATTTCATTTAAGAACATCATTTTTTAAAAATAAAAGGATATTTAAATCAAGAGACAAATCTGGGATGGTCTTACTATTATTTTTCTCTCCCCTAGTTGTATGCTCTATATTGATCCATCACAAATTATGCTTATCACAGCAGAAGCATTTTCCTCAAAGCACCCAACCTACGCACAAATGTCAAGGTCTATAATACTTCCATGAGACGTTTACATGACATTTCACATTATGTATATGTATGTTAATATGGGCATTTTCCTAAAGCATATCTTCTCCCAAATGGGGAGAGAAAACAGCTTATTTTAGTACAATATTATCCAAGAAATTTAGCAAGATAGAATCTATAGTCTACGAAAAGTCAGAGCCTACTTTTCCTCACCTTTGTTAATTTTCTGTTTCTGTTATATACTTTCTAACTATCTGGTTTGGGAACAAAATAGTGAGTTTCTTGAAGGAATAGACTATTCTTTATTTGCTATCTCAAAATTTCCTACAACCTGCACACCGTTTTAAAACATACTTACTAACAGAATCTCAGTAAAACCTTATTAATAAAAAACACAACAATAAATATTTCAAAAGAAATGCATTTCTAATCCTTAAGACAGAAATTAATTACCTTTGAAATTAATTAAATTACCTTTGGGGATGAGACTTTGACATGAACAATAATTGGTGCTAAGGAGGTCTTTATCAGCTGTGCTGGGTGATTGATGGTGTCAGCATCAAGAACAACTAGTTGCAAAGATCTCGCCAATTCAAAGATTCTTTCAATTTCACTTTGTACTTCCGCTAAAGGGAAAAACAACAGGCACTGGTTATTCTCATTAATTACTGTTTATATTAAAAAGAAACAGTACATCTTTCAGATGTTTGTCTACATGACAAAAAAGTTTTGAATTTTTATAGGCCTAATTTAAGATCTTTTCCAAAGATAAGAAAATAGATTGAATTTTGCATACAACCAGAGAGTTGGTGGGAAAACTTGAGGTAGTTCTGTTGATTATCTTCTTCTATATTCATCCTAATATTTAGCTATTTATATAGCTATGGCGATTCTTCTTTGTTGTATTTGATTGTTGCTTTGTTCTAAAGAATTTTCATTAATCTGAGACATTTAGGAAAAAAGTAAAGTACAAGGGGCTGGGGATTTAGCTCAGTGGCATAAGTACCTGCCTTGCAAACAGGCAGTTATGAGTTCAATTCCTGGTATCGATTAAAAAAAAAAAAAAAAGAAGTAAAGTACATGTGAAATGTAACATTATAGAGAAAGCAAATTGTATGAAAATATTTCTATCCACAGAGAAAATATTTCTATGTGTATTATTATGCACAATAAACACTATGAATTTTAAAAATCCAATATGTCTATTGTTTTTCATACCTAATACCAAAGGCCAGAATGACCGCATGTTGCTTTGCCAGATGACTAGCTCTGAAGATACCAATTTAAGGACAAGTAGGCTTATTCAACAAATTTTTCTGAAATTATATTCTACATTTGCTAGGAACAATAAACATTCTCCATTTTTCTCTGGCATGTGCGAAACATTTTTTAAAAAAGAAAATTGTCTTAAGAAATTTGGAAAATAAAGTCAATTTTTACCATATTAAGTTTCAGCCTTGGAATGATGGGGTATGAGCTCTATTTATTGTTTTTATTAACCCGCCATGTGGCTTAAGGAAGTCCTGGCCAGCACTGTACCAGAAGACGTCTCTATTATTTTAACCTCAAATCTGAATATATTATATTTTCTGAAGCAACAGAAAGGCAGTGATGCAAACTGGACTGCCCAGATACAAGAACCCTAAGATGCTCTGAGTCTCTGTCTAAATAACCTGGAAATATCTGGGCCATGTTACTCTGGCCAGTGTGGTTCCTGACAGGAGGAGAAGGCAGGCACATCTACTGTTAGCCAACATGCAACCTCTGGGCAATGGGCACTCTGGCAAGGCAGGGAGGTGGAGTTCGGCTACAGCGAGGCAGGAGGCCCTAGGGCCAAGCTACACACTAGGGTAAGCCCCATGGTTGGATAACATGTACGGAGAATTTAACAAGTAAATTATAGGTACGAGGAAGAAAAATGCATTTTTATCTATGTAGCTTATTTTCATAAAAGCAAAAAAAAAAAAAGCCTCAACTAAACCAAACAATCCTGGTTACCTGATTCTCAGAGGCCTACCAATGGAGGGTTTGTAATCCTATTCCAAGCAAATGGAACTCTGAACAGTCAGGCTATGACACTGGAGACCCTTGATAAATACTTCTATAACCTGATCACGAATTATCTGGGCCCACACCTCCAGCATCTAATGATCTCCCCTACAACCAAGTCCTTTCATGTTTCTCCCATGCTTAAATATGGTAGTTGCTCCTTAGGCCCATGGTAACATTTCACAAATGAATACCCTGGAAGAGTAATCCTATGTGACTTCCTATGGAAAAGAGGGGTTTTAGATAAAGGATATGCTTTATAGTGGAACAGCTTCTTTTGGAATTTCAGATGTATATTAGGCTTTCTAGCTTAAAGGCTTTAAGAAGTCTTGCTATGAAAAAAAACTGTCAACTGTTTACTTCATCATTTCCAAACTTATTTGACTTTGGAAAAATTTGCAATATAACAACTATCAATACGCTATAAACATTTCATGGAATGTATTATCACATTCACTATAATGATTCATACATTGTGTCAACTTGGAAAGTTTAGGAGTTTAACCAAGGGACTCAGCAGGGGGCCAGGGTCCTCACTTTGTAAACATCCTCATGTGTGCGAAAGGAGGGCACAGAGATGGTGTGAGTGCTATACCTGCGGGTGTGTGTGTGTGTGTAACTTGCTTACAATATAAGACAGAAAAAGAGGCCTGTTCTCCTCCTCCATGCTTCTGTTGCTTTTGCAGTCTTCTGCCACTTTAACTGCTGCCCCCCTGCCATGCCACCCTGCCTTGAAGCCAGCTGATTATGGTGAGCTAAATAAACTTTTCCTTCCTTAATTTTGGGCGTTAGGCATTTTGTCTTAGCAATGAGAGAAAATTAACCAATACACTCTCTTTAGCAAGGTATACTAGAGCCCTAAAAGATTGGCTTCAATCTGATTTTTCAGTCTCTTCTTTGCTCTCAAATCACACCTACTCTCCTTTCCTAAGCCTATGTACAAATCTAGTTGTTTCTTAGTTATGCAATTCTTTTTGTCTATAATATATGATTACAACACACAATGAATCATTGAGGTATTAGTACATAATATATTGCATCTGGATCCTTGTGTACTTCCCCTTCCTCACCACTCCTTCCCATTTTTGTACATTCCTGTGTTCCTTGAAGAACCAGCTCAAATGTACCTCCTGTGACATCTGACACACCTCTTAACCCTATCCCTCTTCTTTATCCCTTTGATTGTTGCTAATTTCATCATCATGGAGTATCTTTTACCACCTGTCGCTTCTTTCTTTTTGCTTTGATTATTCATGCCTGCATTTCCTAAGTCTAGTATAATGCAGGGCACATAACAAGTGTTCACTAAACACTGGATGAAGGAATCTACAAATGTTAATTAACAAGCTAATAACATGCAATGCATATAGTAGTTACTATAATAGACTATCATTAACTCCAATGGCTGTTAGTATATGACTTTGCAGAATAAAGGTAAAAATAAGTGACCTAAAAACCCACCCCACTGATTTGGATGACAAGTGACTAGATTATAAGGACTGACTTGAGGGAATACTCATGCAGCCTCTTGGCAGTGCAGATGGCTGGAGCAGTGAGGCATCTTCACTTACCCTTTTCAGTGTTTTTTAGTTATCATAAATCAGAGGCAAGAGTGATTCAAGGGTACTTTGAGGAGTCAAAAGGAGGGCATAAGGTACGACAGAGAAGAGATATTTATTTAAGAAATCTTTAACTTAAGGTCCTTATAACTCATGAGACTTGGATTTTACTCAGGTATCTAATCTGCATCACTGATACTGCCATGGTCACCTGACATAAGCAAAAATTATTGCTCTTATAAGAATGTTTCACCGTGTAGAAGGCTCTAAACATAGTTATAAAGAAAGAACCCTCTATCCTTCACAAACGTTGACAATCATTTCATTTAGTAAATGGAGCATTTCTCCACAAAGCAAATATCCTACACATATTTATTGGCAATTAATATGTGCCAATTTTATAGCACAATATAGAAAGAAATGCTGCTTTGTATTCTATTTTCACTTGCATAATCCCTGCAGCAGGATGAAGGCAGAGTCTTCAGTGAACACTCTATTTTGGAAAGTCACTTTTTAAAATCTTATCTCATCTATAGAGTACATTTCAGTAGTTTTTTTTTTTTAAATGTAGCGGCATGGAAGAGCCCTGCCTTTTCTAGTTAAAACAAGTTGCCCTCAGAATGTCAAAGCAAAGGAGATTCTTAGGAAGGATTCTACTTCTCTTTTAACAATTGCTGAGTCCATGAATAAGCTTTCAGAATGAGTAATATGATTCATGATCTCACTGTCCATACCCTGCTCATTCAAACCCTTTTTTCTGTCATGGTGATTAGTAGCCTAAAAAAAGACAGGTTTAAATTCCCTGCATGTTATTAATGGTGGTTGTAATAGTCAATTAAAGGTGTGACTATTCTGTATACCACCAACTAGCAATAGAAGCAATAGAACACCATTATCTACTTAGCTCTTCTAAAGATCTGAGAAAGTTAAACATCTCATTTATTTTCATGTCAGCTGTGACTTAGGTATGACAGATATCGTGTGCCTCATTGAGAAGCTTAGGCAAATTGGGGATGAGTGGTTTCATACGGTTAGGAAATAATGGACTAGGAGAGTCCCTTGAGGATTCTTCCCACCAGACCACTAATTAGCTAACTGAGCGGGGTCAGGGCAGAGAGGGGAGGCAGACAGGAAGAAAGGGAGGGAGGAAGAGAGACAGACAGGAAAAAACTCGATACAGGATTCTGCTCTCTTTGTGTTCACGTCAGTATTCTCTTTAGTTATCTAGCACTTCCCCACTCCCATCAACAAGCAAAGTGGGAAGACAATTGTTCACAAATGTTCCATGTGTCATCCTGATCTGAAAGTACCACTTTTGTGCATCTTACCTAAACTGGACCGGGTGTTCGAACGTTCAATTATTGCTCTCTTGCTGGGATTATTTAGGACAGACCTCTTAGCAAGAGAAATGTCAGCTGTCACTCTCGTTATTGATATCCTATGAATAGGAACATAGAAGAGAACAAGCCAGTAAAAATGTTATGGGGCTCTGCAAGTAATTTATAACCACCATGTATAAAAACCACTTCACATATTACAGTGGAACCACAGTATAGCAGGCATTAGCCACAAGTATTTAAAACAGGCTTTGGCATATATTAAAACACAAGCACAGCAGAATGGAGGAAAGATTTTGGCTATTTAACTGATAAACTATTCCAGTAAAAATGCTCTACCTCCATTATGGCCTGCCTTGCCAAATTCCCCTTGTAACACGCATTACATCACACTGGGAGGAAATCAAAACATATGAATAAAGCATGCTCTTTCTAGGAAGCAACAATGCAAATTCTTTACAAGTCACAGCAATTTCCTCTTGAACAAGACTTTCAGAACCCAAAAACTCTGCCCCAGAATTTCAGCGCTGCTAGCCAAAGGGAGAAATCCTCTTTATTTTGACATCAAGGACAATTAACTTATTGATAGTTAATTTATGACACATGAAGCATTTCTCCACAGGCCCAATGGGAAGCTTTACTTGTTAGATTGTGAGAAAATGGTTTCTTTTCTGTAGGCATAAGATTCTGCAGCAGTCATAAGACAGTATGAGGTCAAAGTGAGTATGCTACCAGGATTGTAGTAAATTAGGACATTTCCTGTAGTCATATAAGAAACGAATAAAAACATAGTAAGTGAAAGGAGAAAGGGGTCTATTTGGATATTTATCAATTGAGACCATCTGAAACAACATTTTAAAAACTTTATTTTGAACTGAGATTGCTTAACTTCCGTCTATAATCTACCTGTAAATACAAAGTTGCTTTCCTCAGCCAGTTACTGCCATCAACAGGCCCTTCTCTATCCTTATCTTTGCAGTTTGTCAGAATTTCCAGAAAGAGGACAAGGAAAGTAGCCCCCTTTCCCTTTTACACAGTACATTCTCTTCCATGTTTAAACTCTTTTGGGGTTGGAGCAGGGAAGGGAGTGGAGTTATTAGTGATTACTAATCACAAACAACTGTTTTGGAACAATACTTTCAGTACTGTCAAGAGACTTAATATCTAACTCTAGTGACCTGAAGTCTTTGGGAGAACTTAAAATAGTCCTTTTCACAAATGGTTGGAAACTACTTTTTAAAAGCACTTCCTTAATGCAAAAATTCTAATACCATTTTAAAGCAAAACATTGCTTGCCTGTACTGCATTTATATGCTGTAGGTGGCCTAGACATTTCAAATTTATTTATTCTTGGAATTTTTAGGCCCTAATAACTATTTGATGCAACCTTAAACTGTTCTCTGCAGAAACCAAGAATCCTGAAGAAATACCTCAGAGATCATTTGGAGAACCAGTTGGCTTTACCATGGTCAAGGCCAAACATCTCTGAATTTCTGCTTTTTACTTTGGAGTTTATATTTAATTTCATTGCAAAAATTTGTTCAGTTGCTAAAATATGTTGGAAAACACGGACGGAACAACTTTTTCACTTTTACCAAGGAGGAAACTGAGACAAAAAGTTCCACAGGATTCTATATGCAACAAGGGTTTAAACTAGTTCCCTGGGGAATCAGGCCAACGGACAGTCATCTGACTCCCTAATTCTCTTTCAGTTCAGTTTTCTTCTCCAGCAACTTTGAATCCTTAGATATAAGCAATGCCATCAAGTGCAGACACAATAACCTTGGCCTTGAGATGATCAGGCTGAAGTTGAATGAACCCCATGTCTAAGTCTCCTTTGTCAAATGCAGCTTTGAGGCACAAAAACTCACAGGCAGTTCCCTTTCCTTATGGAATAGCATTTGTGTGCTTATTGTGCTTCTGGGTGTCTTGTGTTAAGAATGGAGTTGCTGGGTAGAAACATACTATCCTATTCCAGAATGGTCCAAATATAATGACAAGTGGCTTCTTTTAGGGACAGAGTTCAACCTTCTAGAATATTTTTTGTAGGTCCAAAGATTCTATTCTACTTAAATGAAAATTAAATTCCCTAATTCTACACAAGCCAGATAGTCACTTTTTGTTCTAAAAACTTGAAGGGATCACTAATAGATGCACATTCTTTATAACTCTCTAAATCCATTATAAAAGCATTTCTATAACACCATTCTAAACAACTAAAGTTTTTAAAAATACAGTAAAAAAGCTTAGTATATTAAAAAAAGAGGAAAAAAGTCTGGGCAATAAATTGTTCTTTGATTTATTGTCCAATAAAAACACAAGTTCATTTGCTAATACAAATTATTTGTTAATAAAAATACACATGCATGAAGTAGAGCTCACGAAAAAGAGCCCTACAAATCCTTCAATAAGACAAAGCAGGAGTTTGTCTTCTAAAGATGTTTATTATCAAAATCAGACCCCCAAATCCAAAATTCTTTATAATATACATATTTTATATAATACATATAAACTACAAACCCCCTACTGTCTTTGAGCTCTGGAAGCATCTTGCTCAATATTCATTTCTATAGTTTCCTAGAAACTTTTCTGTGACATAAGTAGTTATATGTTGGCAGTTACAAGTCTAATAGTTCAGTTCCCCAAAAGACTGGGTGTAGCAGCAAAAATCCTTGAAAACTAGAAAAACTTACAGTGTTACCTTGGCTCACCAACTTAATTCTTTCCATAATTCTGGTCACAAATCGAACTTAATGAGAACCGAATCAAATTTTCCATGAGGTCAATACTGAACCTAACCACTGAATCTGTATTCTCTACATTTAGTGAATCTGACTCCCAATTGTTTTTATTTTGGAATTTATCTTAACTGGTGCAATCCATCATAGCATGAGTGTTAGTTTTCAGTGACTCTTCTGTAACATATTCTGTAACTTTCAGTTATGGCTCAAAAATTAGTATTTTCATGTTGGTAACGTAACAGCTGTGAAATCCCTCTCTCTCCTTGTTACTTCAATACGCAGCTCAATCAGTTTGCCTTTAAAGAATAACAGTATTTGTAGGGAAAGTGTTACAAAGAATAAACTGTATGCTCTGAGAGCAGGGATGAACAGCCCAGGAGGACCTGGATAAATGTTCCCTGGCTCGTTCTCTTGGTGGTGGCACAATCATGTACAATTCATGACATCTTTTGAACCTAGGTACCCTAATCAATAAAATAATGACAGTTGTTACATCATAACAGTCTCCTAGGGTTGCAGTTAGGACCTAACAAGGTAAGAGTGCTTTATTAAGTAATTATTCTCACAGTCCTCTGTGACAGACACCTAAATAATGTACATAAGATAATTATTGGGGATTTGAAGACTTGAAGAGTACAATTTTCTTACTTGCTGTCCTAAAAAAGCAATTTGCAATAACCTCTCCTATCCCCAGAGTTGATGCAACTTGTATATGTTGATAGGAGTGTGAATTAGGTCAAACATGATGTAATAAAAATATAATGTATTCATGTAAACATTCAAATTTGGCTTAAAAGCATTCAATTATCTCTAGTGTTTGAGTGTCCACTAATGAGGTGGTATTTAAATAGATAGTAAGAGGAGATGATGAGAATGATACTGATTATGAAACAGAAGTCACTGTTGGCTCTTCCACTTGCCTGAATTTATAAATTGTTTTCTCTCTTATGTACTATGGGTACTTTAGCATCAGTTGTTCCCATTTCCTTTATATTCTACTCTCAATGCACAGTAAATACTCTTCATTCATAACATCTCTCTGAACTGTACTCTTAGCTTTTCCTCTTTTGAATTCTTTTGTAATCCTTCTTTATTTTTATTACTGCTGCCCTGACCAAAAGCTTCCATCAGTGTAAGATTCTATCCCTGTAGATTTAGAATTTTAAGCCATGATCATGTCAGTTACAAAATGTCTAATAAATGTTATAGAGCTGATTTGATCCAGTTATCAAAAGCCTAAAGTAACAACTCTCAGTAACAAATATGAATTGATTGGCATTGGTTACCCCTCTGCAACTGGTTTGCTTACTGTTTGGCCTAAGAATGGTAGATCCAACCAGCTGAACAAATCTTATCAGAAAATATGATCCCCAGTGCATGTTTATGGTAGTAAATGAAGAGTGAAGCTCTGTGCCCAAGGGCATTCATTATGTCTTCACCAGGCTTTGAGTGCCAATGTGGCTGGTTATCAAGCTCACTTAGTTATGGTCTGTAAGCAGGTATCATTACTACCGGTCGACAGTCACATACACAGAGGGCTCTCAGGAACTACTTAATATTGTAACTTCTGTTTTTTTCACATGTATCATGGTTAGGCCCACAACAGCAGCTACAGAAGCAAAAATTATACAAGTAGGTCTACACTGACTCAATTTTTAATGTATCAACAAATACTCAAGTTTATGATTTTATAAAAGTCAAGCAATTAAACTTTAGTCTACTTCAATGAACTGTTTTCTCACCAACCTCTGAAAAAGCAATCTTCTCAGTTAATAGATTCTTTTTTGCTTTCTTTTTGAAAAATAAGAGGACGTTCTCTGGATTACTCTGTTTAACCTACTGCATTCACAACCAATGAACCACTAAATAGGTTTTCAGTAGAACTTACTGTACCATTGCACTAAAGCCTTCTGTTCTTGTGGACAATTTCAACTAAAAACTATTTTTTTCTTTGTTATTAATTGGCAAAACATAATGCAGCAGGTTGTCACTACTTAAAATATACGGCTATTTCCCATATAGAAGGCACATGAGTCACTGAGAAGCTACCAGTCAATTTTTTCTTCCTTATTGAAGTCCCCACATATACTCACCAACGAACTCACTGCTTTTCTGCTGCACTAGCTTAATATTTGAAATATATATAGTATTTGTCCTATTCTGCCATACACAGGGCCTCTCCAGAGCTAAATCTCTGTCTCTACTTTTACTGCTGCTAGATTCTTCCTTCAAATTCTCTGCCATGTCATCAGACCCAACTAACACCTGGCACTGAAATTTTAATTCTACTTCTACTTAAATGAATTTTGATTGTGCGTCTACAGTAATTGATGTGGACAATTCTACATGACTGATTCAAGACAGATCTGTGCTGTTATAATTAAATGAATTTCCTCTTTCTGGATCTTAGACCCGAGAAAGATGTAAGATTTTTCATTGTTGAAGCCAAGAATTAAGCCAAACACTTTTTTTTTTTTTTTTACTAAATTATGTAAAATCCTTTGGTTTGCTGGTCAGTTCTAACTTTTAAAGTTTTGATGACAGTGCTGTTTGTAGGTCAGTTATGCAGGTACCAAAGATAATCCAGCACAAACAGAGGCTGTATAATAGAGTGATTATAGTGTATAATAGATTTGTTCAGATCGAAGACCATTAGCAGTCTAAAGCATAAGGCTCTGGTTAGAATGGCCTTAGGTGAAGGCACCACAGTTAAAAACAAATGATGCCAAGCAAAGCTGAGGACCCGAGCAGCTGCAACCAAGAGCAGAAGCCTGGGCCATGCAAGTCAGTTGCCTTCGATCCCTGCAGCGCTCTATGAGGGTCAGTGTTATGGCCCAGCAAGCCCATCACAGAGCAGAAGCAAGGGCCACAGCAATTAAGTTAGAGTCTGAGTTCAGTTGTTTCTCCGTGTTTTTAGGAAGGGAATCTCCAGAAGTTTTCAATCAGAAATAGGTTGTCTATCTGATTGTGGCTGTGAGAGAAGGAAGATTACGAATTAAAGAACTTCCTTTGCTTCCAATGCCAATATTTCATGATTCAGTGCTTTTCATTTGTTTTCTTTAAAACTGGTCATTCTCTGTCTTTCTTCTTTTAAAAAAAAGAGAGTAGAAAAGAATAAACACAACATTCCTTTCAAGCCCTTTGTGTCTGCTAGATGACTATGGAAAAGACTGCTATTGGTTCAACACAACTGATTTCCTCTTATTTATAGGTAGACAGTGAGACTGGATGTCCCAGACTCCGTTACAATGAAGTAAGGCTGTAAGAACAAGTTCTAACCGATAAAATATGAGACAAGGTGCACATTACTTCTGGGCCCTGTATATTTTTTTCTCCAGTCAGGAGAATCCCCAAGTCATAACCAAGCCAAGGCCCCCAAATAATAAGTGGCACAAATTACCCCATCTTCTCATCCTTCTCATCCCCCACTTTTGTTTTTTCTCAGATAGGAACACATGTTAAATAGGCAACAATAAGCTTCTATAGTGTTAATGGCATTATATACTTTGGGACCAATTTATTAAAACAGGTTAGCTGATATTAATGTACTTAGGAATTCAAATAATGTCACAGAAGCATTCTTCTTGAACTAGATTTTCAATTATTAGAACTAATATCTCAGTTTATTTTCTTTATATATAGTCCCAGAAACGAATGAGTATTTTTTTAACATGGAAGAATTCAGGAAGCTTTTCTTTTGACAACACATAGCTAGATATATAGATATGATTTGTTCTTAAAACATTATGCTTAATTTTTTCTTTAAAATGCTAATTTGTTAAAATTTGTCTAAATATCTTTAAATTTGAAAAATTAGCCAATTTAAGGTGTTAAATTGGATAGCACTACCCAGATTTCTGAATATACACTATTTAAATTTTCTTCATTTTCTGTAAGTTCAGGGTTTTTTTTCATGTAGTTATTTTTACATAGATATGTTCTCCCCTTTGGGAGAGCCTGTACTCTATGTTGTCATTATGGACTTTTGACCATTTCTCTATAAAACATAGAAAACTTCATTTAGACATTTTTTGCAATACTCAAATGACAAAATTATTTGATGGTTGGGCTACCTTGATGATGGGTCATAGGAAGTACACATAAAACAGACCTCTAAACTAACAAGTTTTGGGTTAGGATGTAGCTCAGTGGTAAAGCACTTGCCTACCATGTATAAGGCCCTGGATTCCAATGTGAGCACCACAAAAAAACAAAACCAAAAGTTAATGAGTGGAGCAGGGCGGTAGCAGGTGCCTATAGTTCCAGCTACTGGGAAGATTGAAGTGGGAAGATCATTTGTACCCAGGAGTTTAAAACCCGTCTGGGCAATATAATGAAACTCTGTCTCAAAAAACCAAAGAGGAAAAACCATCAGAGAAAGCCAAACTCTGAAAACTAAAATAGCAAGTTCATTTCTTTAAAAAAAAAAAAAAAAAGGATCCAAATAATTTTCTGCAATAGTCATTTTTGGAAGGTTTGTGATGAAAACTATTCTTGGATTCTTCTTTTGAGGAAACTCAGTATTTTATACATTCATATCACACACACATATAATCCTCAAATAATATTCATCGTGACCAGTGAGTCATCATAGTCATCAGAAAAAATGTATTTTAATTAATTATTTTATGAAAACCACTTTGGCACTAATTCACTAGTAAGTAAGGACAAACACATTTCAATAAAACAAGTGAATTATTTTCCTTGTCAAGGCCCTTTTTCCCATGAGAGATTCAATGCTATACTTCACATTTTCTGGGTTTTTCTGCATTCTTCACAAGAGTATGGGGTTAACTTTTAATTAGAGAACTTCTAGCACCACTGGAACATAGATTCACAAATCAATTTGTCATACATGTCTGGTTCAAGGAAAATAAAAATACAAAACATCTATGTCTCACCTCCCATCAAACCTGTGCTTCAGGAAATCAAAGAGGGCTTTCTGCATCATGTCTGTTACCTTTGCAGAGGTGAGAAAAAAAGAATGAGGCAAATACACAGAGAGAGAGAGAGAGAGAGAGAAAAGTCAAAAGTGAGAGGGGTGGAAGGGAAGGGCGCTAAGACTGAGCAGAGACCTCATCATCACTGCCAGTTGTCCCCATGGGGAGGTTTATCTGCATAACTGAGTGCAGCTGCTACCCCACCTGCTTGGTTCTCCTCTAGAGCACTAAGGAATGAACTTACAGCGTGTTCACCAGATCCACAGCAACTCCTTTTGTCTCTTCTCTTATTATAGGCTCTCAAGTCCTGGCCATCCTCGGCACATCTGAGCTGTGCTTGCCACTAACTGAGGGGCAGTGAGAGGTCCTGAAGCCAGCCCCAGGCTCAGCTCTCCTGCTAGTCTGTGCTTGCTGCTAGGAATTTGTCCTGTTCACTATCCTGCCCATCACTCTGAGATTTCCAACTCAGAGGAAAACAAAGAGATAGGATTCTAGATCTGTCTCAAGAGTTTCATTAATTCATTTAACCAATGTATACTAAGTGTCTACTATGTGTCAGACATTGCCTTGCCTCAGTTGGAATGGGGCCCTGCAGGACAGCCACCTTCATATTCAAATGTCACCTCCCTCCTATTTTAACCTCTTGCACAAAGCCCAAATGGCAATATCTGAAATGTCATGCATTTAAGTTTCCACTCTTTTCTTTGCTGCACGGTTAATCTCTAGAATTTGCTAATGCTTTTACTGGGGTTTTCCCTAAATGTCCTTAAAAAATAATTAAGACAAAAAAAATTGGTAAAATTTTTTTACCAATTTACCACTGTCTTAAGCACCCAGTCTGGTGAGACTGGCTTGTACATTGAGGGCTCAGGTTAAGACTATGCATCTGTTCCCTTGTACTGTTTGTTTTCTATTGTTTCTACTAATAACAGGAAAGATTGAGATAAATAAAGTACAGTCTTTGAATTTAATGCAGAGTGAATCTTCTACCAGAATTTCCCATTGCAAATGTTTTGAGAGAGATATTTCTAAACAATGTAATGCATAAAAGATTAGGGGTGTACAAGAAAGGGGGCAAAGGCCACCAAAGCCCTCGCAGCACCATCCTGTTCACATCGAGTGTTGACTTTCGTGATTTTCTGTATGTGTACAAACCCTAGAGGAGCAAGCACCCAGAGGACTGGCTGTCTCTTGGTCAAGAGAAGAGTAACAGATGGTATTTGTACCTCATAACCTTTCAGTGACGGCCCCACTAACACCACTGGACGCATTGATGGCACAACATCATAAGGAGGAATGTGTTCCGTCTGAAAAAGATGATTCGATATGCGCCACAAGGTCAGGTTGAGCACACTGTCTCAGCAGCTGCAGCATTTACAATTCTTAGGCAGAACAATATATGATTACCAAGAGTCCCCACCCAGGGGGAGGCTCAACCTTTTCTTTATGGTCATTTGGGTCATTGAAACGGAGCTTTGCAGGCAAATATGTATAGGAACCTTAACAGTAAGTTTAAAAAGGAAACACGACTTACCACTTTTTGCTTCTGTTTTGCTAAAAGACAACAATGAGAGTCATATCAAAATATGTAATCTCTGTAAATGACAGTACATGAGTTTAAAAGGAGGAAGAATGTACGCATTTGTCCTTGTAATTATCCTCACCACTTCCCTATCACTCACTCTACAGAACAGTTTTATTATTTCATTCCAGACACACGACTTTTGAAGACATATGAGGAACAGATTACTTCCTTCTTGTATAATTGATCTGCGGTCCTGATTCCAGCTGGGATGGGGACAAGGTGCTAGTTAAGCACTCATATCACAATGGAAGTTTTTAGCCACCCACTAACTATGAGTCGCTCCTGTGCTAATCACACCATAGAGTGTGGCTGCAGACAAATAAAATGTGGTAGAATAAAATGATTACAATTTGAGCAAAAAGGACTCATCTCACAGTCACTAGTTTTTCTGTATATGTAATGTTGGTGACCCATGAGATAGTTTTTCAGGTTGCTAGGCTTTTTTGCCGATTTTCTAGAATGTTGGTAACATTTTTTTCCACTATGTTGCTTTCACACTTCAAATCAATTGACAAGTACTTACTCCTTCTTTCCTGTTTTTTTACAGTGAAAAGTTGCTATGTCCTGAATGTCCAGCAAAGGGGAATGAAGAAAACTTAATATCTGATGAAACTGTCTTGGTCATCATTCAAGCAGGTTCTGTCTATTTGGGGGAAAACCCAGATGTACAGTATGGTTCAGAGGCCTGGAGGATTCCCATGAGCAAGAACCACTCACTCAGAACTGCTGGGGAGCCAATCCAGTTTGGATATGGATGAACATAGCCATGGACCTGCCATTCTTAATTGTTAATGTCAGATACCCTATTACAGTATCAGTTCTGGGCCAGGAGGAGATTATTCTACAGAAGTCAGGAAAGTGATGGAAGAAAAATTCCTGGGAGGTGAACCTCCATTATTTCCAAAGGCACAAAAAATACCCTTCAGACCCACCACTCTACCCATCAGTTCTCCAAATAGACACATGAGGTCATCAGAGCCCTGGCTCATTCTGCTTCACCCATCCCAATGTTCACAGCTCAGGCTGTGTCAGCCCAATCCTACAGTTCCACATGGAGACTGAATACAGCAGTGGCTTCAGAGTCCACAGCTCTTTTTTTTCTATTGACCCTCACCATCTTTAAGTCTACTGGGATCTCAGATAGGGCACTGAATTTGTTGAAAATCAGGCTACACAATGGATAGTTACTCATCTCTGAGGTACATATAATTTTTCAAAGTTACAGTATCGTGATCTGACTTTTTATTTAAGTACTCTTCAAATCAAATACCATAGAAAGCAAAAGAACAATGAGGTATTAAATCAACCCTTTAACTAATATCCAAATTAGTCAAAATGCTCACACACATGTTCCAATATTTTAGAAGGAATGTATTAAATTAAAAAGACTAACCTAACTCCTCACCTGTTGATGTGGGAGTTGCTCGAAATGTCCCTGATACCATTTCTCCAAGACTTGAAGAAGAATTTCCACTTGATTTCCTAGGATACAGAAAGGAGCTTAAGACTCCCCATATTCTTTCAAAATAGAACTTGAGAGTGTAAGGCTTTCTTTGGCCTTAATTCTACTTAATAATTCAAAACACACCAAATCCTGCTAGAGAGGAACTTTAAGAATCTGTTCCAATGTTTTCTTTGACCTCGTTTCTCAGAGAAAATGGAGAACAGGGGCCTGAAAATACTTCACAATTCTGTCTCTTCCAATTTCTTCAATGCAGAAATTAGGTAAAAGAATTCCTGGCAGGAAAAGTTCTTGTGAACTGCCTCCTTACCCACCAATGTGCCAGCCAGAGGTCAAACACAGCTCAAAACAAGCAGTAAGGCCTGGAGGAACAATTTCTTCTTAAGCATGATTATGGGGAGGTAAGAATTAAGATCTGGCAGAAAGAAGCGGGTCCCAGGTAACATTATTTGCAATCTGAAATGGAAGTCTGTCAGTCACAACATGTCCTCAGGTGTGCTTTGGAAGTTTCCCTGGAACCCTCTGAGGTCCTTGGTAGCTTATCTTCCTTCTGCCCAAGTGTCCCTCCCTTCCAGTGCTTCAGAGAAGTTGTGTACTTAGAGAAATCTGATTTCTCAACCCTGCTTTGCCCCTTCCTAGATGGGGCACCTTGGTGTATCACAGTAAGTCTTTGAGCCTTAGTTTCTCCGTCTATAGACACAGAAGCTGACTGTACCTCATAGGGTTGGTATAATAATAAAATAAGATCCTGTGAGTTCTTGGCATTATCGCTGCCCTTGCCATAGAGGTAAAAATGTATACAGTAACACTTTTGAATAACAATAACAATAGTAATACTAGTAATGATAGAAGTTTAAAATAATAATTTGTTTATCATCTGTATTTAAAATACTGATTTTGTATCCCTATTTTAAAAGGCAGAAATACAGCAGTGAGGCCAGGACATGAAATTCTTTCCCTTAGTGAATCACATTCTAGTGGGAGACATAAGTGCTAAGCAAATACATAAACATATAAAACTTCGAAGAGTAATAGGTATAACAAAGAAAACACTCCAGGAAGGGACAGGAAGTAGAGGGAAGGTGGATGGCTACAACAATTTTACATATTGTTAGCAAAAAAAGGGGTTATTAGAAAGGTGATAATTAACAAAGATCTGACCCAGATGAAGAAGTAATCTGATGAAAATGCGAAGGGAAGGATTCCAGCCTGAGAACACAGCAAATGTAAAGTCCCTGAGACAGAATCATGCACTCCCAGCATGTTTAAGGAAGAGTGTGGAAGCCAAAATATGCAGAGAAGAATGAGAAAGAGGATTAATAAATTAATAATAGCTTACACATGTTATATACTAAAAAAGATTAATAATTAAAAGTGGAGGGCTACAGATGTAATTCAGTGGTACAGTGTATGAGGCTCTGCATTTGATTTCCAGAATGAAAAACAAAGCAAAAAATGGGATTATGACTTTCTATTCTTGTTTAAAAGGTTCCCATTAGCACAAGGGCAAAAGGAACCCTAAAAAGAAGAGTTTTTAAATAGAGTCCAACAAAAAGTGAAACTGAAAGTCAAGAGAAAGAACAGATTCCAGCTCATGGCTTTCAAATATTGTAACACATGAAATCAGCGCCTGAGCCCCGGCTACAGCACAGTATTTGCAGGCTCAGAGTGTCTCGGATTTTCTTCTCTCAAGCTGGGCTTGCATTTCTAGGACCTTTATCCACCTTTTCACTGAGGTCCTTGTGGCTGCTTATTAGTTTGCTAGGTGCTGATTCACCCAAGCTACAAAGGAAATGGAAGAGAAGCCCAGGTAGAGAAGATAGTGCTCATCCTGTCCATGCCCCACCTCCTTCTGCGCTCACTGGAGACAGCCTTTAAAAGTTCACCAAGAAATCCATACTGCCAAGTCAGGCTGGCTTCCACTGGCTGCACTGACAAACAGTGCCCTACATGACTTGCGCAGAGGAACCCTATGCTCCGAGGGGGTCTGCTGAGGCCACAGTGGAATTCACGTGCACTCCAGGGATGTGCAGCATCAGCACACTACAGGGATAGTGGAATCCAGAATGCTTTTGTGTGCGTCCCAGAAACATATGATATACAGAAAAGTGTCTTTTATTTTAAAAGCATTCATTTTTAACTCCCTAAATTATCTATTCTGCGTCAAAAAATTTTAATATATATATGAATTGAGCTAATTCATTTCATTTATACTACTAGTCTCTCTTAATTGAAAAATGTTTTGTGCTATGATGTATTTATTTGTAAGAATCTTTTTGTCTAACTACCTCGAAGACAATGATATACAGAATATTAACTGTTATTCTTATTATTTTGCTATGCAATTTCATTTTATATTTCACAAAATAAAACAGCATACATTTTTGACATAATAAATAGGCCAACTTGAAAATATCATCAAATTTTTCTGCTGAACAAAAGCTTATGAAAAGGAAAGGACCTTACCCTCCATGAAAACGTCCTCTTTTCTGTTCCTGCTGAATCCTTATATTCTCCAATCTGAGTGGGCTTGGGATGAAACCAATCTCACAGCCCTCTTTCACGAGCCTTCCTATCCACCAGTCATTGTTATATTTCTGGATTGCATGAAAAAAAAATTACTATCAATATTAACTGACTTATCCACACATGCTAGTAATTAATCTTAACAGACCGGAAGAACCAAACACTATTTACATGCTATACTACTATATTATATGGCCTATATTATATATAAATACTGCTGATATTACAGTATATTTTATATATTATAGTACATATTTTAGTCTCATAGAGTAAAGTAGGGTTCTGCAGACATTTTTTTCTATAAAGCCTTTGACAATAAATACTTCAGGCTTTGAAGGTCATATGGTCCCTGCCACAACTACTTGAACCTGCTGTCCAATGTGAAAGTTTGCCACAGACGCACATAAACAAGAAAACATGGTTATGTTCCAATACAACTTTTCTTTATAACAAACGGACTAGCCCAGCTCTAACTGTAGGCTATAGTCCTCCAACATCTATTGAAGTCAAGCTCTAACTTTTAGATTCCTTAGGTCCATGTAAAGAAGCCCTAGGTGACTATTAAGGAACAGATTTTATCAGTCAAAATATGAATCAGTGTAAATGAAAGCAAGACAGGTATGTCTCAGATGAAACACATTTAATAACAGTCTCGTATTTGTCAAAAGCTTTCAGGTAGAAATTTCACAGGCTTGGTGGCATACATTTGTAATCCTAGCACTTGGGAGGCTGAGGCAGGAGGCCTGCAAGTTCAAAGCCATCCTAATCTACATAGCAAGATCCCGTCTCAAAAACAAAACAAATCTAAAATACTGTCTGTGGCCTACATTCTTTCAAATATGGATTTGCAAACTGTAACCCATCCTACTGTATGAATAAAAAGAAGCCATCCTAGTCTTCTAAAGAATAAGCATACTAAAAACTTGTATGTGGAATTTTGGAATAATCTACAAGTGGCCCAAAGCCAGCAAAAACTCCAACTTTTCTACTTAACATTTCACATAAACCTGGAACACGAGTCCATAAAAAGCTCCATGTGATATGAGACTCTGTTAATAGAGCCTTATGTGATAGGTCAACAAGACTGCATTTGTATTTATTAGTTTGCTGAATCCTAACTAGAAAGCAGTTTAGTCCAAGCCATCTGCCTCCTAGGAATGCTCGCTAAGTCATTTCTGGAAAACAGGTATCAAACCTATAAAATTTCAAGAGATGGTTCCAAAAATTTCCTTTATTGTCTTTGTCAGAAAACTATCTATCTATCAGTCAAATGTAATGACAATGACTATATGTAGGACATTTTGCTTATTTCAGAGAAAAATGGGATTTATGTGCTTATGATACTGACACACTGAAAGAAGAATGGATGATTCCATTGAATCATCACAGCATGGAATTCTGAGTAACTTTGAGTAATTCTGAGTAAGAGCCTCTCACTCTAAAGAAAATGACAGGGTTGGATTTGGCCTTCATTATGCACACAGTTCCTGCACAAGGCATGCAGAACATGCAGTAAGTGACTCTACTGGAGAAATGTTAGTTGGCCTAATAGAAAATCTTGAACAATCTAGGTCTTAGTTTTTCCCACCTTTTATTTCAGGACACAGGACTAAAATAACAGGTCTGTTTATTTTGTAATTAAGAAAAGGTGAGCAGACCCTCTCAGAGGCACTGGTCTATAGGTTTGGAATTTAGATTTTACTGCAGTAGGGACAAAGCAGACCATGAGTCATAGTTTCCTAGGGCTTAAGTTATTTCCTGACATTAAGTTAGACTCCCTGCAATACTGATTTGTTAAATGGTACCCAAATGACCGTAAAGGGTTTCCTAAAACTGTTAATACACTTCCCAAAATGGTTTAACTTAATTCCCAGAAACAGCTGAAGTACAGCAAGATTCTGACTCATGTGAGTCTTTGAGCTACTGAGGAGAAAGTTGCTATGTAAATACAAGAACTTAATTCAATCATTGTTTGACTCATGGGACAAACATCACTGTCACTTTTCTTTGGGTTGAAACTTTTTCATTACTGACAAAATACTTAGAATGGCACATAAGAAATGGCCTCAGTGACAAATGTGAAAAAGGCTACAACTAGATTACAGAAATGTGTTCATTTGCATTGCTGATGTGCTGGGAGCTTGCGCCAGCTTTCTGGAAAGGTCACCTTAGTATTGTTTCATTGTTTTTGTTTTTATTTTCCTAAAATAATAAGTACATTTTCTAAGATTTGTTAATCTGATCGTTCAAGACCTAAAAATGAGTGGCTTTCATCTACCCAGGATTAATAGCTCAATTCCACATATCAAACTGCCGGGCTAAATGCAAAGTTCTGAATCAATAAGCACATGGATTCAAAAGCAACCAACAAGACACATTAGAATTCTGACAGGGAGGAGCTCAAAGGTTCCAAACGCAAAGTAACAAGGTGAGGAAAATGCTAGTCACCCAGATGTTGTCAGTACTTACTCATATTGTCATGGACTACAGTATCACACTCAACAAATATATGATTATAATGTGTTAATCAAAAAAATTTTTTTATGTAACCCAAGCTGGCCTTGAATTTATGACAATCCTCTTGCCTCAGCCTCCTGAGTGCTGGGATTACAGGTGTATGCCATCACATCTGATTCAAACACTTTGTAAAAGAATTTAGTGTGGTGGAAATGTTAACTACCCTGATTTGATTACTGTATATTATATGCATGTATCAAATAATCACAGCAAGCTTCATAAACATGCATAATTATAATGGTAATTAAGAAAAAATACTGGCAGAATACGGAAAAGCAATAAAACAGAGAAAGGTTGGGATGTCATAGTGAACAAGTATGCATGTAACATACTTTCGGCAGCTAATGAATATGGTTTGATCATTTTTTATGCAAATGAGGCACAATCAAGGTAACCATCAAGATGTTAGGGCATACTGGTCAATGTAGATATCATCACTTTTCATGCCATCAAGAGAGTAGAACTCATGAAGGTAATGACTGCAGTTTCTCATTACCAAGGCTCTGACTTATCTGTGCCCACATTCATCTTTTTTTCTGAACTGTCATAATGAAGATCTACTTGGGGCCTGAATCTCAAAAACTGAACCCCTGTGCCCATCTTCCCCTCTGTCAGTTGCTAATATCAACACATGCAGGGGCTTCAATAACTCCCTCCTGGAAAGAAAACTTCCTCTGATTGCCTGGTCAATGTCAACCTCTTAGGAAGCAAGTGCTAAACTCATTTCCTAGTGCCCACTGTCTTCTCGTTTTCCTTGGTTTGGCTTCTATCTCCACAATCCCACAATGCCATTATTTCTAACCTGGACTATCGAACACAGTTTTAAAATAATTAAAATAATTTTCAAAACTAATTTAAAATATTTAAAATAATTTTCAAAACTAATTATTTACTGTCTCATTTTGGACTGGGGAGTAAGTACAGGTGGACTCAGTGGCATTAAATGTGTTTATGTTGGTCACAGTCTTCAGGCACCTCTATGCTCAGGATTCACTTTACTGTTCTTCCTTTATATTTCTCAGCCCTCACTCCTAGCAAGGCAAGTAGAGACCATCAAGTGGGAAGACCTTTCCTTGTACACCCTCTAGCCTCACTGGAAAATTCTGAGCAGAACAAGGAAATCCAAAGAAGATAAGACCTTGTTCCAAGCTCATCCTAAGTCCTGTGCTCATCCTCCAGATTCTGTCTCCACCTCTCTCCTCCAGCCCCTTACTTGATGAGTTGTCCTTTTTCAAAATATTATACTGGGTTCAATAGTACAGCATAGAAAATAGAATCTTTCTCGTCCTGAAAAGCAAAGTGTACATCAGATTACAAAACTGTTCCTTCAGTCTTCATGACATCTGCCCCTGGTTGGAGCCCTTTCTTTTTTTCAACTCAAAGCACTTAGCAAAAATATACAATTTCTCTCCTCTAGCCTTAAGGGCCTTCCAAGTGTCTTTGTGAGAAGTTCCACAATCCCCCAATTACGGGTACTCGAAAGCAAAATTCATAAACACATTCACACCTGTAACAAATCTGCTTACCTCTCTGCCTTCTTCACTACTACCTTCTACCCTTCCAAGTAGGCCTTACAGGGTTAATATAAGAGAATGTTGCTATTTATCTCTCACATTCTCCAGTAGTCCCATCCATCTGAAATCTCCAAATCCATGTATATGGCTCTTAGCTCTCTGCAAGCTGCTTCCTCTGCGCCCCCTTCTGCCACAGCAACTATCCTGTCTGACATGTCTTGCCAGCCCTGTGCAATGCTCCTTTGCCCATTACAATTGCCACTCTAACCCATGAAGCTGGTCACATCTGTCTGTCTCTGTTAAAAGAACACTTGTAATTCTTTGTGCTGATATTAGCCCTTGTCCTGGCCTGGACTTCTTTAAGCTTCTACCTCTACAGGGCTTTTTAATCCCCTGATCTTCTTTCTATCAACAGGTGATCCTTTCTCCTTTCCTTTAAGCTCTCACATTATCCACCCAGTATTTCTACAACAGAATTTATCCTCCCTTGTGGAAACCATGTATGTTTATCTGTTCCTTCCACTAAACTCAGAGCTCTCTGTCCATGAGTACAGTGATCCTTATTTCTGATCCTCATTGTCTGTTCTTCCAAAGCACAGTGAATTATGTATGACACAAAGTAGAATGTCAGTCTACCTATGCTGAGTAATAGTTTCTGATACCATTATTCCATTTGCCTAGATCTTTAGCCACAAGTCTTCCTCATATTGCCCAAGCCCTAAAGGTCTGTTTATCACAGTCCTCTACCCTTTTCTTAGCTTTAACACTTTCCTTTAATGACTATATATACTTGTATTGGTTCCAAGGTGTCAGCTCATAGGACTATATAGCTCAGTGTCCGTAATTATAACATTTCTTATTATAGTCCCTTCTGAGGTAGTGCCATGCCACCAAATTTACATTTCTGTAAGTTGGACTGACAGATCTATGGCTCTGTGATTAAAAAATGGGTCAGGTGGGCTGAGAATATACCTTAGCATACATGAGGCTCTGGGTTCAATCTCCAATGCTAAAAGAAACAGAGAGGAGAGGAGAGGAGAGGAGCGGAGGGGAGGGAGGGGGAGGAGAGGAGGGGAGGAGAGGAGAGGAGAGGAGAGAAGAGGAGAGGAGAGGAGAGGAGAGGAGAGGAGAGGAGAGGAGAGGAGAGGAGAGGAGAGGAGAGGGCTTGGGTGGTAGAGTACCTGCTTAGCATGTGCAAGGCCCTGGGTTTCATGTATTAAAAAAAAAGAAAAAGGACCACAGGATTGCTTACAATGATTTCAAAGGTTGATCATGATTCAATGTTGTAAAAAGTATGTGATAATGTAGGCAATGATGTCAGGATTCTAAATCTTGGTGAGAATGAATGGTTATGGAAGGTCCAGAAAATTAAAGGAGATACCATGTTGGCGGCTCCTCAGGTCTCTCTCCGATGAGTTTGGCTCAGAGCTAACTCCCAGAAATTTTGGCTTTTTGGCAGGTAGAGAGATACAGGATGCCTTACATATTTACCTCTTTAATATGCAGAAAGTCCTTGGCATCAAAGGAAATGGCCGTGCTCGGAACAGGCACATCCTCATCTAGGGCACCACAGTAGCTCACATTCGTCTTCACAGCAAACGCTACAGGTTTGGACTAGAGATAGAATCAACCGTAGAATAAAAATGGAGGGAGGCAGAAAGGGCAAGGAGGATTCTTCATGTTGAAATGGATTATAAGATGACCGATAACACCAGGCAGTAAGCGAAATCACTTTGCAAAGAGAAATCTCCACTGGAATCTTCACATTCTTAGGCAATATGAAGAAATCTGCAAACATGACTCTGAAAATGATTTATTCCCACTAGCCTTCTCCTGTGGTTCTTTCTAAAATCTCAAAGACCTACCCCCTACCGTACTGGGGAGGGATGGAGAGAGGTGAAGACAGTGTATTTATTGGTCATAAAAGCTATTTATTTTAAATGGTAATAGATATCCTCTTGCCTTGGGATACAAGAAACAGGTGCTAGGAATTAAGCAAAAAAAAAAAAAAAAAAAAAAGGGTCGGTAGAAGAATAGTAAAATATCTTTTAAATAGATTTAAATCTGAAAAAGCCCACAGGACCCTACATAGTATGACTACCTGTTCCTACCAGGAAAAAGAAGAGCCAGCCTGAGTTAGACATGATGAACAGGGCTCTCCTCCTCACTCCACTCACATCTCAAAAAAAAAAAAAAAAAAAAAACCAAAGCAAAATTCTGAACTTCACGTTGAACCTGAATTAAGAGATTAAAACATAGAGAGAAGCACACAAGAACCAACAGGGCAATCAAGAGAGTAACAAGGTGAGTATGGCCTACAAGAAATAAAAAGAGACCCAAAGCTGGAGTACAAACTGGCACATGAAGAAGCTCTTTGCCAACAATGAGTCTGGCAAACTTGACACTGCTAAACTGATAAGCTGAAAAATGACCAGTAACTCACCATTAAAAATAAAAGGGAGAATGGCCATTTGGAGATGTTACTAAACCTCTCTTGGGGTGAGTGGTCCAGAAAGCCTTGTAATGTGGAGCCTTAGCGGGACAATCAGAAAATGAGTATTCAGAGAAATGTGAGCAAGGGCAGCAGAAGGCTCCTGGGACATGCCAGAACTGAACCAAAAAAAGAGAAGAAAGTCACCTTTGCTCTCTCAAGCTGGATAGCTGCTTGCTGTTCTCTCTCCTGCCGAATTGCTTCCCGGTCCTCTTCCAAAGAGACATCAGAATCAGATGGCCTGCTTGTGTAGGAATCTGCTGAACCCTGGAGAAAGAACACAAAATAGCTTACGTGAGGTGATGTGCAGTTTCTTAGATTGTCACAGCCATAACAGTACGCTGGGGTGAGCTTCTTTCATTTGCATAGAACCTGATGCACACACTCTGTACCTCATTGCAGATATAAATTTAGATGTGGAAGATAGTTTAAGCATCGGAGTTATTTGGAAGATAGCAGTGTAGTGAAAGAAAATATTTTGACTAAATTAAGTGTTAGGAAGTAAAATGCAGTGGAAATGCCACAATATTCAGCCCAATTCTTATTTTGTACTCTCTTTATATTAAGCCCGACACATTTCTGGAACTAAAGTTTTCATACATTTCTCTTTGGTATATACTGTCTATCTAAAGGAAAAAGAGACTCAGCCTATCACAAGAATCAAATCCTACCTGTACTGTGCGTTACAGAGCACCAGTTCGTCTAGTACTGCAACATGGTGAGCCAGTATTCTACACTAGTAAAATGATTTTCTAGTTTCAAGACCACTATTACAACTTCAACCACTGTCCCATATGTAATCAGTATGCAAAGGGAGCAAAAAAATACCTTGAGGGCACAAGAGGCTCTTATTTAAGCCACACCCCAAAGGGCTATTTGCTCAATAATGAAATTCAGCCTGACTGATAGAGCCAAGAGACTTTGAGTGTTAGCATCACTTAGTACTCCTGTAATAGGAAGAGAAAATACAGAGCTTCTAATATAAAAGTTACCCGCTAACCTCCCAAAACACAACCCTGGAGGCTTGCCTTCTGGCTGCTAAAGGAACACTGTCTTTACAACTTCCTTAAGCTGGCATTAGACACTGATCTTTACACAGATGATATTTACAGAGCAGAGGTATTGGCAGGACTAGTGTTTTGGCATGTTTCATAAATTATGCAATTTTTAAAAAGCATAGATTTATGTACATGGTGCAGAATCTACTATTCAATGCAAAAAAAATAACTTTAAAAAACAGCTGACAGCTAAAGTTGGCCCTTTTGAGGCTTTTCTAAACTTGTAGATGTTTACTGTAAATCTGTTGCCTTTATAGGCTGGGCAGCTTTCTCTCAGCAAGGGATGCCACTCTAGCTGTGGTGGTCTTTCTCATCCTAGTGAAACCCCCTCTCACTGATAATCTTAGCAGTCAGGAACAATATCTGCTGGTAAAGGTTTTATCAGCATGCCCAGGCACACCCTGAATTCTGCCTCTGCAACATCCAAAAATTACTTTATGTTACTGGGTCACTCCGAGACAGACTCCTCCTCTGTAAAACAGGTACACTGACTACTTCACAGGATTAAATGGAGTAAGATGCAATGAGCAACTAGTTCTTGCTGAGGGCATGGGGCTAGACGCTTTATATACTTTATCACACTAAATCCTTGTCCCCGTGAGGATGCTGGTTTTTAAATTCAGTAGTTCAATCCTAAAACCAGCAGTTTCAAATTCTACATTGAGTAGCACTTGATAACAAAATAAGCTAGGATGTGATACACAAGAGGTACGTAAGAAATTCTCTCTTATCCCCATTTCCTAGGGCTGATATTTCTACACTGATTTTAAAAGATAATTAAGAGAGGCGGGAATGCAGCTCAGTGGCATAGTACTTGCTTAGCATATGCAAGATGTTGTGTTCATTAAATCCTCATCACTGAAAAAAGTGAATTAAGAGATTCTAGTCATTTTTCAACTTGCTTACACATGTACAATAGTACATTGTGAGATACTGTCATTTACTGCATATTTCTATGCTATAAATTTAATAACTTCAATGTGTCCAGATCCATCTACTTAATGTAGCACTTTTCAAAGTGCCCTTTACAAAGAAAATACAGTTGTTAACCAAATTATAATCAAATTCCTTTGAACAAATCTACTGGGTGAAATATCAGATATACAAAGGGGTACATACAAGGTGACTTTTACAGAAGCATTCGCTGGTTTAAAAGAGAGCCACCTTGAAATTCTTAAAACAGAGATTTCTTTTAGAACAAATTTAGGTAAACCTCCATAAAATCTAGTCCAAGAGAGAAAACAAACAATCTTTCTAAAATATCTATGCAAAGAGTTTGGAATTCATCCTTGGCTGTGCTTTGCTGAAGTACGATATATGGGTACCCTATTCCTTAGTGCTAGACTGGTTGCTTGGAGGACCAAAGCAATTAAGACACCTGTGTCAAGAAGGAGGCACTTTCCTCGTCTAGGGGACCAAGTACTGGGGAAGGCAAGTGACCACATCTAATAAGAAAGCAGGCTAAACCTGTAATCCCAGCATTCTGGAAGAGTTGCAAATTCAAACCCAGCTTGGGAAATTAGCAAGATCCTATCTCAAAACAAAACCAACTAAGATAAATAAATAAATAGAGCTGGGGATGTAGCTTAGTGTAAAGGTCTTAGGTTCAGTTCCCTCTACTAGAAGGAAGGGAGGGAAGGAGAGATGGAGTGAAGAGAAAGCTGTTAAGTAAAACAGTGAAGCAAAAGAGAAAATATACAATTGGCTCTTGCCACCAGGAGATGTTTAGTTTCCTGAAATTACTTTAACAACTTTCAAATCCTGGCACTCAGTTATCTCTAAGCACACAAAAAGTAACTCAGAGACTCCTGCAAATGAACTTTATTTTCAAATAGGAGCAAGACTATAAGAATCATAATATTACTTAATAAGCTCTACTATTGCCAAATACAAACAACTTTCTGTTTACTTGCCTGTTTCTAAGAATACTGGTAGAGGGGGAAAAATCAAACTCTGTGACACTCACTTTCATAATTAGCATTACATCATTACAATATTCATTCTAGATTTTTAAAATGTCATCTACATGTATTTTAATTTGAAAATCACTGTGGTTCACAAAGTCCAAGAGACAGTGGAAATCCAACATCAGGAGTGCAGGCACATGTACTGCTGGTTTGTTACTGACTTGGTTTCCTGTTTTTATGAGTTTATTTTAAAACTTTATTTCAACCTGTTGTGAGACAGTACAGACGCTGTGATGCTGAATCTTTTGAGCTTTCCATGATAGCAAGCAGCCGGCTGCAGCGTGTATACCATACCATAGGTTCACCACCACTGCCGTAGAAGAAAGGAAGGAAAAGATAAACACAAGGATCTGGGTTGTTTGCAAAGGCAGAGAGGAAAGGACAGGCTGGCCACAGAGCCTAAGAGATTTCCCGAGCCAGACTAATGGAAAGATCCAGGAAGGGCAGAGGCTGAGAGGGCTTGTATGACTGGGATGGTAGGAAGAGCAAGGTCACTCAGAGGGTTTGTGAAACATTTAATGATCAAAGAAAATGAAGCAACAAGGAGGAAACAATGCTGGGTGTAAAGTGGACAGAGCTGAAGCTGTGATGATTACTGGTCTAGGTCAAAGATGGAAATTATGAGCCTATTAGCTCATAATTTTCCAAAAGCATGAGAAGCAATCTATTCAATTTGTCAAGTAGTTCAAAACTGGGCTGTTAACCTATGTACAAGAGATATGACAGCGACTTGCCCCTCTAAAGTTCTTAGGCAGACAACACTGCAGATCTCACCATAAGAGTTTCTAAGCACCAACTAAACCAGTTGTAAACTTGGAGTTTCCAGAGAAACACACACACACACACACACACACACACACACACACACACATACAGGGGGCGGAGGGAGATTGCAACATTTGTGTGTGTGTGTTCATCTATTTAAAAAGCCATAAAAGAATGCAACGCATCTTAGTCAGGCGTGGTGGCAGGCACTTCTGTTCCAGCTACTCAGAATGAAGCAGGAAGATAACTTTAGTTTCTGGAGTTCCAGATCAGCCAAGGCAATACACTAAGACCCCATCATTAACAAAACAAATAAATAAGTGGTAATGTATCTGTTACGGATTAAGAACTGGTGGTCAACTTAATGCCAGCTGGATTACATTGGCATGGCATGAGCGAAGATGCTCCACATGAGGAAAGTTGCCAGCATAAATAGAGAGGTAGAGAAGGAGAAGGAGGGCGTCAAGGTGTTAATGTATTGTTGCGTTGAGGCACTGAAGTATCAGGGGTTCTCCTATAAGTTTCTGTTTGAGCTGTTTGGTTGTCCAGGAAAAGCTCTGGTCCACGTCGAGCGTTGCTTCCTGGCTCCGGAGGGAAAGATGTGTGTTACTTGTCTCCAGGATGAACTCGTCACACTGGTTTCCTGGCATGTACTCAACTGTGCTTATCATCGGAGGAGCTCAGGGCCTCCGTGTCACTGAGGATGGCTGTGGTGCTTTGCAGGACAGCCCTGGTCTTTGTTGTGAGTGTGACTTCTCGGCTCCAGCATAGAATCGTCAGTCTATCAGCACAGCTCCTTCACCCTGCTGGCTTGGACTTTCTGGCTTCCACCGCTGATGTCTGAGCCTTCCCAACACTAATCCGTAAAAGAGACTGGTGTGAGTCCTTCTTGTGGGCTCTGGGCCTCCAGTTGGACTTTGGGAGGCATTGTCTTGATCTCTGGGTTTTCATCTGGACTCATGTGGGACATTGCTGTGGGATTTAGGCTCTTGACTAAATATTCTATGTTTTTGGTGTTACAGATAGATTTTCTACATTTTCTTGTGTTAACTCCCGGTGACCATTATAAAAATATAAACTCCATGTCCTGATTCTAATTGTTCTCTGCACAACCCCTGACTACAACAGTATCCTTGTATCAAAAGGAACATGTATTTTTCCATTAACATAAGGCCCAGACTCTGTTTTCAGTATTGAAAGAAGATTCTAGTCTCACACCTTTCATGAATCTTCGTAAATATAAAATACAAAATGCTGGCAGAAACACTGGAAAATCAGCTTTCTGTCTTCTGAGAGAAGGAAAGTGATTTCTCCTCAAACAATCCAAGAGCTTCTCACTCACTCACAGAGAGGCTGCCTGAAGCAGGCTGGGGAGCAGCACGGGCTTTAAGGTCAGTGTTGGTTGTGCACTATTAGCAGTTCTCATTGGCTACTGACTGGGGTAAGTTATTTTAATCTTTTGGGTCCCAATTTCCTT